TTTTATTGCATATTTGACTATTTTTAGTTAATATAATATAATATAATATAAATATAATATATATATATATATATATATATATATATATTCACGGAATTGAATTAAAGATAATTTAAAATTATAGATAAGTTCTAAAAATTCGAATTTTATTTAAAAATAAAATTTATCTTTTTTTATCATTGTTATCATACTTAGGTTAATGGTCATATATGCAATAATGTTAGGAAACTTTTGTTATTTTTTTCTAATTATTTAAATACTACTTCGCCCTGACAAAAAAACCTACTACTCCATATAACTATAAAACTCTTTCCACATTTTAAAATCTATAAGTATAGTTCTTTGAAACATTGTATATTTGAATAAAACGAAATTCTTTTAAATAAAATGTAATATATAGGCGACACACGTATATGTTTATCTAAATAAACAAAAAAGAGTTTAACAAAATCAAATAAAGTTTACTTACATATATAATAAGTAAACATGCATGTTTGTAGAAATAAACATTACAAATCAGTTCAATATTAAAAAAAAAAATTGTTTCTCTTTTCTTCTCTTGAAGAAATATTTGTCTTCGAACGGTCAATCTGCGGATTCCAAATGGACAGTCAAACAAATAACAAAAACTTTTGCGCCTATATACAATTGCTATCATTTATTGTTAATGTTAGCACATGTCAAGGAATTGAAGGGTATAAGTTTGAAACCCTTCATTTAGAATGTAGCGTCAAGCCAATATTGCAGAGGGTATAATATTTTTTCGTTGAGAATATTCAAGTTTTTTGAAATCATTTAGCATTATGTGAAAGATTTTTTTTTTTCAAACTCAACAAGAAGAAATTCGTTCTAATTGAAAGGTTCGATAGCTTACTTTAAGTTGTAACAAAGAGCATATATAAAGAAAAATGGTATGACGTGACTACTTTTTGTAAAAAATGAAAAAAACATATTCGAAAAAAACTCTTTACATTTTTTTTAATTCAAAGAAAATAAAAAGATAAGATACTTTTTGAACCTTGTAGAGAGTTTTAAATTTTTAATAATAAGAAGTTATATCAATGGATAAACTCACAAAAACCTGAAATCTTATGGAAATTTACATAATTTCGGCCATATTTGTTTTTTACTTTATCAGCTATATTAAATAGATGATATAAACCGGCAACACAACGATTATGCACATATTATATATGGATTATATATAAATTACCATCAATCAATTTTTTAAATTTTAAGTGATTCGCGTGAGCCCTATTTAGGCTGATTAGATAAAGCCAAAAGAAAAATATGAAATAATTTTCAACCAAAGACTAAAAATATAATTAAAGTTCATATGTTATACAATTTTTATTAAACTCATTCCTTTTATAGTGAATAAAATTAACTTTTTTTTAACAAAAGAAATTAAGACATAAACATAAGATTAAAAAGAAAAATAAATATTGAAAAAATGTTAGAAAGATCTATAAACGCCGGAGAAATATAAAGATCGACAACAAAATTTGCTTCTTATCGTTTTCATTCTTTGTTAAGTATAAAAAATGAAAGTTAAATCTCATCGATTTCAAATATATTTTTTTCAACTCAAATACATAGCTTATAAGATAAGATAGGTTTTGATTTTCTTTTTTAATTTACAGTTATGTATCTTTTTTAACAAAATCAATTATACTATCAAACTGGATAGATATTCAAATTTGATTGGGACTGCAATTTTTGAGTAATCTGATTTGAGGTTAAGCCAAGTAATGATGTTAAAAATAACTATTTGATATTTTAAGACAATATAGGGCAATATTTTTTTAATAATAATCAAACTATTTAACATTTAATTAATTCAAAGAACAAATTTTTGTATATATAGGATATTTAAAAATCTTCAAATTATGGGTAGCGATATGGAAATAACCTTAAAGTGGAGTCATAATGAAATAATGCCGGCCAAAGAAGCATTTAAATTTTTAGATAGCCGACTAAAGTGAATTTAATTAAGGATAATATCTTCACTTGCAATCATTATAAAGATAATTCATTTTATAAATATATAAATTAGTAATTGAAATTTTTAAAATAGAAAATATTTTTGAAAAGATAAAATCATACCTAATAAGGTTCAAGTCGTAGTATAAGAAGTCACGGTGGTAATCGAAGATCGTTTAATATCGTGTAACCTTTGGGCTGTTGCCATTAAATATGAGTTATTATTTTCACTCTAATGGGCTATTTTTAGGTTCCAATGACACCTATGGAGAGATACGATGCAAAAATAAGATTATACTACGAGAATAGAAAATGTTAGTCTTTTTTCATGTAAGTGCTTCTAACTAATATGTGGACGATTATCTTATTCATTATTTAGAAGGTTAAATATTAAAGGTTATTTACATATATTCAAATAACTCAGATATTTATATGGCTAATGTCCAACATATCAATATGGAGTAAAAAAAAATCAACTACAGCCACTAAAATGAGTTTTGAATTAAAGATAATTTTACCATATACTATTGACATTATTAGCTTGCCACTTGGCTTAACCATAATGTCAATTATAAATGATAACTTTCTTGCTTTAATATATATATATATAAATTTAAAATCTAAAAAATTTATATTTAAAATTATTTACACATAATTCATATAACTCAATCATAATTTAATATAATTTGTGTCAGCCATACACTTGTTAGCTCAAAAGATGTCGGGTGTCCTACTCTCTTTTGCAGTAGGCATCCAAATCCGGACCCCAATCCCCATAACTTTTTGCGGACTTAAAAACTTTTATTAAATCCACCTAATAATAATTTGGCGGACTTCAAAACTTTTATTAAATCCACCTAATAAATATAATTCTTGCCTCACTAGGTCAACAAATTGTCGCCGGAGAAAATTGAGAAAGCTATTATACAAAAATGGCAGCGATAGCCGTTGGTGACATTATTCCCGATGGAACTGTATCTTACTTCGACGAGCAAGATCAGTTGCAGAGCGTTTCCGTACACTCTCTTGCTCAGGGCAAGAAGGTCGTTCTCTTCGCCGTTCCCGGAGCTTTCACTCCCACTTGCAGGTCCTACTTTCATTTCTTCATTTTGTTTGGAATTTCTAATGGAAGAATGGAACTTTCGAGAAAAATAGTCTGATATTTGGAATTTGAAATGTTTATATATGCAGCACGAAGCATGTGCCTGGGTTTATTGAGAAGGCTGACGAGTTGAAATCTAAAGGCGTGGACGAAATTCTCTGCATTAGCGGTATGTTTCTTCTCCTCAATTATAATCTGTGATGTAGAATTTTATTTCTTTGGTTTTGCTTCACCAAGAGGATTTCTAACTATTTTTATGCCGAAAGCTTAGAATTTCAACAAGTTCTTTTGTCTTATCTAGGTCTTTCTATGATTTTTACTGACTTTGTTTCAATTTATGTGACACAAGAAGAAAACCATTCTATATTTTGAAAATAACTTTTAACTTTAAAATTCTCTTTTTATCCTTAATTAGATTATTTATATCCAAACAAATGTCCATTTCTTGTTCTGGACCATAAGTTTCAAATTTTTTTAATTTCTTGAAATCCATACTTGTTCCTATGCTTGCAAACTCGACTTTACTGTAATTACCAAAATTGTGTCTTTGTTCAGAAAAGTGTATCCCAGGACGGGCCCCAACTGTAATTATTAAGTTTTTAGGTGTATTGTTAGTTCAGAATATTTCATCCGGTATCCTTTTTTGAACTGGTATTTTAATTTTGTTTACTTTTTAAAAAATGTTATAGGTATACTCATATAGACTCACGCTCTTCCCTTCTTCCTCCTCCTCCTATGTCGAGATTTTTTTTTTTGAGAAGGCAACAGCTTTTATAACAAAGATAAAGTAGTTTTTAGTACAAAAATTGTGGTAAGAGTAAAACATAGTTACAAGACTCCACAAAAAGAACAAAAACCTAGTCTTTTAATAGTTACAAGGACCCACTGTTGTCCACTGTAGATTCTAAATCATCTACAAGGGCTCCTTTACACCAAAGTGAAACAAAAATATATTGCTCAGAATTTGCTCTATCTTCAAAGCATATTGAGTTTCTTTCCTTCCATATTATCCACCAAATACATGCTGGAATCTTGGTCCACCATCTCTCTGCCTCAGTATAATACCTGGATCATTCCAACATGCTGTCACTTCTGTAGTTGTCTAGGGAATTGTCCAATTCAATCAACAACTTGTTGGTTACTTTGCAGTGCAGAAACAGGCAGTTGTTTGTATCAACCTCTTTTTCATCACAAATAACATGTAGAGCACTCTTCACCAGACAATCATGTGTTAGAACACCCTCTTTGACCACAAGCCAGCAGAAACATGCCACTTTAAATGGAATTTTCACCTTCCAAATGTGCTTCCATTGCCAGGGCCCTATGTGCTGGTTCCCAGAACAATTTAAGATAACATATGTTGATTTCACATAATAGACTCCTCTGTTATTTCTTTCCCACCCTGGTCTGTCATCTTGTTCCATAGGTATTCAGTAGTACCTTTGGAACTTTCTAGCAATTTGAAGAATGGGCCGGTTGTGGGCGAGGAGGGATTCGAACCCCCGACACCGTGGTTCGTAGCCACGTACTCTAATCCTCTGAGCTAGTCACTCTAGTAACCTTCCAGCCCTGTAAGCTCCATATCTCAGCCACAGTAGCTTGTGGATGCTGTACTAGATTGAAAAGGTCCGGAAATGTTTCTTTAAGACGTCTATTCCCAATCCAATCATCATCCCAAATAGAAGTTTTGGCACGATTACCCACCTTGATACTGACATTGCAGTTAAAAGTTGTCCATAGACATCTTATGGACTTCCAGACACTTGCACCATAAGAGCCATAAACTCTGGCTGTGCACCATGTGCCCCATATTTTTCACTAATTACTTTCCTTCACAAGCCGGCTCCCCCCTTAGGAAACCTCCACAACCATTTTATCAGTAGGCTCTTGTTATGTTATCTCAAATTTTTGACCCTCAGCCCTCCTTCCTTCGCTGTTAATCAGAGTACTCCACTTTACTAGATCGTAAACCTTCTTCTCCTTATTCCCGTGCTATATGAATTTCCTCCTTAAAATATTAATTTTTTTCTCAACTTTTGCTGGTAATGGAAAATGAGACATCATATAAGTAAGGAGGGAGTCTAATACACTATTAACTAAAATAGACTTCCCTGCTAGAGAGAGATAATTACTTCACTACCTGGTAAGTTTCTTTTCACACCTCTCCAACACTCCATTCCATGTCTCCTGGATTTATTTTTATGTCAAAGAGATATTTATATATTTGTTGTAGAGATTTTTTCAATTTTCGTTGATACAAAAGAAAAGAGTTGTTTAAAATAATCGCTCAAGCTATATTTATATTAATTGAAATCAAATGAGGACAAGACCACATTCATGGAAGCACGTTCGACCAATACTTGCATAGAAATATTTATTATATAATAAAAATGTATAAGGGCGTTTGATTTCGCATAAATGCGTACACTTTTAATCATCGGAAGTTGTCTGTGCTAATTAATATTGATACTGATACCACGTGGCATGTAGTTAAATTATTGAAGGTTATTTCTTACTTTTAACTTTAGGCATTTGGTGGACTGAAAAGATAATGGAGTTAGTATAGATCTCTGGGACCCACATATTTATTTAACAAACAGCCTCGATAATTCATGTTAACTGGAAGTGAAAGCAATAAGTTAAGAAACACTAAATTTCATAAAAGTCCAGTTGGCAAGCTTGCATGTGCCTCTTCCTAGCTTACTTACTCTTATTGTGTAGTAGAAAACATGTAACTTCAAGAACAAAAAAGTCACTTAGCAATAGAACCCCTTATAGTTTGAGTTTTTGGTTCTTTTGCAGAAAACTTAAATATCTTTTGGGAATATTCACGTGATTATAGGGAAAATACAATTAATCTCTTCAATCTTAAATTAGTTGGAGTCCACAATATGGAATCTCAAAAGATAACTAAAGTTGAATATTGTGGTGGAATTTCAAAATTACTTAAAATAAGACTAACCAGAACTATTTGGTATAAAATTTTCTGAATTGTATAAATCGCATCTGAAATTTAATTTAAACAGTTAGAAATGGGATGCTTTTGTTTATTTCTTATATAAGCATGCAAGGTGTCGCTCATGTGTGGGTCTAAATCTTTTCATGGCCAAGCTAGTGAAATATTTTTAGCTTATGGATGGACTTGATATCAGAAGCTTGGTCTACTCTAGCATTGTATTGAATTGTGTGAATTAGCTCGTTTAAAAGTTTAAGCTATTTGACATGGAACATATTTATTTTAGTTATCCAACAATTTTAAAGATAAAATGCAACCTTGCTAATTCTCCCAATCCTTTGAAAAACACTTTTGTTTGTAAGGAAAAGGGTACATCCAATCACCTATAGGAAAACTGTCATAGGTACAATCAAATGAAAATGTTTTCTCTCATGACTTTTCTTCCTTATCCTTCATTTACTATGACAACTTGTGATATTTTTATCCCTCTCGGGGTGCTCGAACATTTTTTTTGTCTTATGGGGTCAATGTAACCCCCTAGCCCTAAATCTGCAATTCTGCATTCTAAGGAACCCAACAGTGGTTTTTCCTACTTTTAGACCTGAACACCCAACCTAATGGTTGAAGGTGGACGATCCTTGTAAATAGGTTGTCACCCCTTTTCTTGCTGAAACATATTGGAGCTTCACATGGTTGGTGTCGGATTTGATTGCAAAACTATGCAAAATCACTACAGATCTAATAGTAGCTTCTCAATTCTAAGGTGATTTGTTCATGTACATGACTTTCATAAGTTACAAAACTGCCCTCGCGTCCTTGCCTGCTGTGCCAACATCATGCTTCATCTCGTCTTACCTTTTTCCTTTTACCTGATCTTAATATGGAGTTCTACCAAATTTCCACGCTTCATTTGTTGCAGAATTTACAGGAAGAAAATCACAATTCATTAGAAGATTCAGAAGTAGGGATGACTTTGTTATCCCAGTTTGTTTTGTTCTCAGCTGATAATTGTCTTCAATCCATAAGTAGCGAGGGGTAAAGAGTGTAGGTATATATAGCCAGCAAATATCAGGATCATTGAACTGGCTTGTGGAGATAAAAAATGGGCCAATTAAGACAGTAAGATTAGCAGGTCTTGGTAGGTGAGTGCACTGTCATCAGCAAAAATTGATCATATCTTTAGTGCAAGTACCATTTTTTTCCAGTGATTATATTTTATCCATGTCGTGGTGTCTGAATAATATGCCAGAGTGGCGCTTTCTTGCTGCTGCTTCAAGCTGCGTTCAACAGGTGGGAACTACCAGGGGAAAGAGGTGGATTGCAAATTTTTAAACATAAAAATTAAGTTGTAGCAGGTTTGTTAGCCTATGCTAAGAGCCAATGATTTCTTCTGGTGAACAGAATATAACTAAAACACCTACTAGAAGGAATGCAGCACGATAGTCATTTCTGCTGACCTTCATGTGCATCTTTTTAATCTACTATGCTTGGTGTATTGTTATGGAAATTGTTACATATTTGCTTCCTGCTGCAGTTAATGACCCCTTTGTGATGAAGGCCTGGGCAAAAACATACCCGGATAACAAACATGTTAAATTCCTTGCCGATGGAGCTGGAAAATACACTCATGCTCTCGGGCTTGAGCTAGACCTGTCTGAAAAGGGGCTTGGTGTTCGATCTCGAAGGTATGCTCTTTTGGTTGAGGACCTCAAGGTGAAAGCGGCTAACATTGAATCTGGAGGGGAGTTCACCGTCTCCGGTGCTGATGAAATCCTCAAGGCTCTTTAAGGTTCATCATTGCCTTCCGTGTGTTTTTGGCTGTATTTACATATCTTCTGGAATGTAATGCCAACAATATTTTGAAATATAAGTACTCTGGTTCTATTCCACAATATCAAAGTTTGTATGAAGAATGCTTTAATATGGTAATAAAAAACTTCTTGCTGCTCGGATTACTTGCTCCACTGTGTGTTGGAGGCAATTAAATCCGCAATGTAACAAATTGGTCCAAGGTTGAGGTGGAAACATGTTAATGTTGATGTGGAAACATGTTAATACATGTGTACACTGTACACCACTCAAATCTTTCAAAATAATATCCTAAAAAGAGTATGCCATATATTAGATGCAAAGGAGGAACTTTCGATAATGTTGATGCTACCTTCATTTATCACTGATATTCAGAATGGTCAGTGCACAGCCTTGCTGCTGTAAATGTCACTCTCACTCTCGGGTGTACCCGATGAATTGTTGCCTCCTTCCCATGTTCTCTATATTGTCACAGTATTTTCAATTAACCTGCAATATTGAGTAATATCATCTGCATGCTGTTGTTTCTCGATTTTAAGATGCGAATGATGCATTTGTGATGAAGATGTGGGCAAACAATAAGCTAGAGGAAAGTGATGTGATGTTCTTTGCTGATGATTCTGCAAAATACAGGAGAGAACTGGGGCTGGAGTTTGATGCAACTGATAGCTTGTTTGTCTAAACTTCTAAAATCATCTTATTTTGTGTTTTTTTCAAAAGTACTTTTAAAAAAAGTATTTTTAGCGAGAAACAGTTTGTGTTTGGCTACTTAATTTGAAAAGTGCTTTTGAGCAGTAATTATTGTTTGGTAAATCTTTTAAAAAGTATTTATAAGTATATTTTTCCCAAAAGTACTTTTCAAAAAAGTGTTTTTGGGAAGACCTTTTTTTTTTTTTTTTTTTTTTTTTTTTTTTTTTTTGCTTTTCAAAACTTCTCTACTCAAATTGTTTTTTACCTTCTAAAAGCTTGGCCGAATACCTTTAACTTTGGAAAAGCAAGCATTTTTAGCTCAAAAAAACCAGTTTCGGCCAAAGGAAGCTTGGCCACATTATGAAAGAGTTTTGGAATATTTTTGCAGAAGGTTTCCGCTCTTGCTTCAGGATCTTGTTGTTAAGGTGGTAATATTGCATGAGGTGGAAAGCTTGATGACATCATTCAATAAATTTCTTAAATAATCACTTAACTTGATGAATTTATTTACTAAATTCATCTTTCTTTGTTTTGTATCAACAGCGTCACTTACCTATTCATTTATTTTCAAATAATTTTCAAAAAAACTATTCCTTTACTCACAAACGTACAACTCTTAAAAGATAACTACAACTATCTACACAAATAAAATTTTCAAAAACAAGAAATTCAAATATTTATTGAGCGGATGTCAAAAAATAATTTGTTGAAAAAGCTTTTTGCCAAAGTTCTTAAAAAATTTGGGCCAAGTACCTAAGATAGAGATAGCCCCTTAATCTTGGCATTTGTAAGATAGACATATAAATGTAAGGAGTGATCAGATAGACACTTGAACTCGTCCAGGTGCTATTTTTAACACTCGTGTATGTAGGATTCTGTGTAGGAGGTCCAAACGCCATTTATGTAGCAAATAAACAGATAATATTTTTATTTCATGTAAGCAAATAATAGTCTAAAGCCAAATAATACCCCTCATTTGTTCATCTTCTCCCTATCTCTTCGTTCTCTTAGACCTGACTCCCATCCCCTATCAAATTCTTCGAGTTTGAATCACATCTCTTTAATTCTAAAGTAAAATTTCACCCAAACTTCCACAAAGATCAAGATGAAATCATGTAGAGGTGGAGATTTCCTCTTACACTCAGGGATTGGAGGGTTGATTGTAGATTTTGTAGTCAAGAGTTTTGAAGAACTTTTTTTAAGAGATTTCTTTTGTTTTTCTCTAATTAGTGGTAGAATCAGTAAAAAGAATTATTTTTGTCTTGAATTCGTAGTTTAAATGAGTTGGGTTATCTCATTATTTGGGGTTAAAAGTTAAGACTTTTGTCAAGGGTTTTGGGAAATATTCATTTTTCTTTATTCTGCTGCAATTCCACATGGATAGTATTATAACTATTAGATTTCACAACGGGAAAAAAGTTTCCGAGAGAGAATTTCCCAAATAAGAGGGGGGATTAGGGGTTAAACAGTGGGGTATCGACTTAGATCACTTTTCTTTAGTTGAACTTAATAATTATTCACGTAAACTGGGATACTATATAATTGATGGGTTTTTTATTACCAAGACACAACAATAAAATAGTTTAAACTGTTGAAAAATAATTTTGAATATTTGGGTCTTGTCTCAAGCTTGAAGCAAGAAGACTTTTTAGACATTTACATCAAGCATGTGGTTGATGGTACTATGATAGTAAAAATATGGTCCATATAGATTTTATAATGTGCTCACAGGCTAGGAAAAATAATTTTAGGTCTAGGGTTTCACCTAAATATAAATACTACTAAAAAAAGTGGCTATTGGAGGCTTAGAAAGCAAACCTAGATGCAAATCCATCTGGTATTGGTGTTGTGAAGACTAATCTAAATAGTAGTGACACTAAAGACTTAGATTTTAATGAAGACTTGGAGGGCATACTTGATGAAGATGACGATGATGCTGATGAAAAGTTAAGGGGCTTCAGGCACAAGCTAAGGCAACAGAAGAAAGAAGAACCAAAAAGAAGAAAAGAGGAAGCAATGGTTCAAGATATTGTACTTGTTGATTCCCACATCAGTAGGATATGGGTTTCATTGGCTCTATATACAGTCTTGGGTAATCCTCATCTAATGAGCCAGATTTTGGCATCTCACTATTGTTGTTATGCAAAGTATAAGAGTGACATCTCATTGCTATTGACTGTGCAGAGTGATACAGGTGGCTATTATGTTATTGTCCGGGCGAAGCGATAAAGGTGGCTATTATGCGGACTGAAACGGACATCTAATGATATGGTCAGGGAGGAGTGATACGGGTGGCTATCGAAGAGATAAGGGTGGCAATGTCAGGGATGATGTGTGATGGCCAGGGGGCATTGTGTTGATGATATTTGTGTGATGGTGTGATCTTCCTTGCGTATGTCATGCACCTTATGTGACTTGTTGTATTGCTTTCAATGAGCTACTCAATGTCTTTGATATTACTTGTTGACTTGGGTTGTAATAGTACACTCGCACAAGCATAAACCGTATCATGCCACTCATACTAGTTCAGGAGTATGAAACTTGACATTTATTGATCATGCCCAAGTATTCTTGTATTATCTGTTTTCATGTTGATATTGAGCTTGTGACCATGCCGGGCGGATTGCAATATTGAGCATGTGACCATGCTGGGCGGATTGTGATATTGAGCCTGTGATCATGCGGGGCTGATTGTGATAGTAAGCCTGTGATCACGCCAGGCGAATTGAGATATTGGCGCGTGAGTTGTTCGTGCGGTTGTGATAGAAATGTGGGCACAAGGTGCTGTGAGCATATGGTTTTGTGGTTTGAGACTTGTGACTTGTGATTATGAGATGAGGTATCTCGGAATAATTTCGTTGCAAGAATTGTGTTAGGACGCATTGATAAGTTGGTTGTTATTATTTTGTTTCAATGGTACTTTCACGGCGTTCTTATTACTTTGTTGTTTATATCATATGTTGATTCTTGTTGCCATTTATTGATTCCTTCTTTCATTATTAGCTTTATACTTCTATACTGTACATGTTATTTTGACTAGTAGGTGTCTTGACTTGTACCTCGTCACTACTCCACCGAGGTTAGTCTTGATACTTACTTGGTACCGACCGTGGTGTACTCATACTATACTTCTGCATATTTTTATGCTGATCCAGGTATTGGAGATATCGGACTCATGTAGGGTTAGCTTATTAATTGCGAGGATTCAAGGTAGAGTTGCTTGGTCGTCGCATTCCCTTGAGCCCTTTCCTTTCATTGTACTATCAGCTTGTTATTTGAATAGTATTGTATTTCGATCTTTGAGATCTTTCCATGTATTCATCTAGAGTTCGTGACTCTGTATTACCTAGTCTTGAGAGGTTGTAGTGATTATTGCCGCGTAGGCTTATTTCACAATTATTTTGGTATTTATATAAATCTCTATTTTAAAATATCATTGTTAAACTAGCTCAATTGTTGTAAGTAATCGACTTACCTTGTCTTAGAGACTAGGTGCCATCACGACACCTAAGGCGGGATTTTGGGTCGTGCCACTTCCAAAATTATGAGGGAATTAAGTTCCTTGTGTAAACACAGTCTTAAGAAAACCCGACTTTCCGATCACCGCTCCTTGTGCTGACGACCGAATAACCTCCTACAGTGAAGGTTATTCGTTCGCCTACACTTATCCTTTCACCTTAGGATGCAAACCTCCTATTGATCCCCGCTCCTCTCCCCTTAGATGTCGTGAATGTTATTGGAAACCTGACTTTCCAGTCACCGCTCCTAGTTTTGACGTGCGAATAACCTCATATCGTGAAGGTTATTCGTTCGTCTACACTTATCCCTTCATCTTAGGGTTCAAACCTCCTATTGATCCAATGATCATTGAATTTTGTCGTTACTTCAATTTTTGACTTGGGCAAATAAGCCCAATAACGTGGAGGGCGGTGGCCAGCTTCCGTTACTTATCGGGTTTAGTTTTCGCCCCTTTCTCTTTTCGTCATCTCTTCCATCTGTATTCTCCAAAACATTTTCGGGAGGATGTTTTTACACTTGTAGCGAGAAGAAAAAGAGTCTTGGTTAGTCCTGAAGATGATCATGACCGGATTGGTATGCTCGATTCGTGGCTGTTCCCACTCGTGCCTTGGTGGGAGATGAAAACATGCCTTTCCCCGAGAAATGAAATTTTGCACGTGATTTTCTCCCTTTGCCCCTTAAAATGCCATATTCTTTAGAATACTTACTTTCTTATATTTTCTTGTTTTTCAGCAACCATGAAAGTCTTCGGTGAACTCCCCGACAGTCGTGATTGGGTAGAAAAATGCTATATGACACTCCCATAGAACAAAGATCTTGGAAGTTTATATCCCAAAAGTTTTGGTGGAAAGTTAAAACCCACGGTTGATGTTCCACCAAAAAAATGCATTTATTTAACCATTGTTGCCTCACATTCTAGTACTTTTAATCATCTTTTGAGTATT